CGACACTTTGTTACCCGATTTTCTTGTGGACGCCGCCATCTTACTGCTTAGTTCAGAGCAGGCGCAACTGTCGATCGTCGCAATTCAGAAACGTGACTCCTGTTGTTAGGAAGCTCAGGTGATATCGGTTTGCTCTATCGCGAACTGTTTTAACGTTTCTGGAGGACGGAAAAGCGTTGCCTGCGATTTCAGATAACGCCTCAGATGACTGGCAACCAGGGTTTTAAACACCAAGATGGCCGAAGTGTCGTTACTCTGAAGCGTATTTAGTGGTCTAACCCAGCGTTTGCTAAGACGCGGCTTCCAGCAAGCTGGCCCTGATCATCAGCGAACAGTGGGAGAGATTGTCGCAGAAAAGTCCAAAGCGGCGAAAGGGCCGGAGCCGTCAAAGCCCCGCCTATAGCGAATTAAGCCATGGCGACGGCGTCCCGAGGAACACTTAATTAAGCCCCCAACGGTAGAGAACAACACTCGGATGTCAACATACCGCTTCCTTGAAAACGTAATGTGTGTTGCGGTGAGATGCAGCGAGTGTAATTCGGTCAAACGAGCGCGTTTTTAAGCCCAATGATGATTTCTTCAAGACGTATCCGAAACATTTGTTTCTAAAATTAAAGAGAAATGAAATGATGAGGAAGGACCCAGGTCCAGGCAAAAAGGGAGTCCCGTCGTCATGCCTTACGTACACACCACCACAACAAAAACAACCGCGAGTCTTTTTTTTTTTTTTTTTTTAGTTTGTCTCGACGAATGAAATGGTCGGAGAAGAGCTTTGCGCACCAAGAATCTCAGAGGCCTTGAACTGTAGAGCTATGTACTCTATAGAGGTATAGCCACTGTCGACAAATATGGCGGCCGAAAACAAGTTGTGCCAGCTCAACCCACAACGCTCGGGTTTAAACAAGCACCAGCTTCAAAATGGTATGCCTTGATTTTGATCCATTACGTTCAAAAACTGCAGCCGCGCGTTGGCGTAAGCGAGCTTGCCTCCCGAGGCCTATAGCCTTCTTCGGGGAAGCGATGAATGGACTAGCTACTGTACCTTATACCGCGCTGCTGAACGTTAATAAACACGCAATGCCTGGTTCACGCGGTTGCATAGGTTGCGTTAAAGGCAACGTTGCTCTGAACGCCAACGTTGGCTACTCGCGGCTCCAGCAACGACGTAGTCACCGGGAGAACTCGTCGCCCCACACAACGTGACAAGCAATGTAAGGCGCACCTATTTCGTTAGGTCGTTGTTAGTCACAGGCTTCCTGGATGTCGTTTTCGTTGCTGTGCGGACACAGCTAATGCAGCTTCCCTCGCTTTACTTCGGTGGCCACCGGAAACTGCCGACAACGTGCAATCTGGGAAGCCACAAGAGACGAGCAGAAATGTCGACCTGTTCCGGTCAGCTGAGTGCTTTTCCGTCAGGTGCCGTCCGTTTTGCTAGAATCGCGAATACCTCGCGGCTCCAGTAAAGCTTCGAAGTCGCGAAACGGAGAACAATGAGCCCGACGTATACTTTACGATGAGTGCCACAATTTTCGTACTTTGCGCCAATACCGCTTAGAACGAATCCCTCACGTCTGCGAGCAATAAAACACGCGTTCGTTTTTCTCCCCACGCAATAAATGTCCCAATAAAAAAATTAAGGAATCTATAGAGGAAGACATTTAAGAGTGGAACGCGAATGCCGTGCAAGCGTGTCTGCGTGGCCTAGTCAGCAGTGTGTCTAACTCGCAACCTAAGGGTCGTAGGTTGGAATTGCGCCTAAAATTATTCAAATACCTTCTTTAAGGCAAATTAATTACTTTATAAATTGAAATAATTTCAGACATAGTGTAATACGCAAAACAAAAAGCGGGGGGAGGGGGGACGTAAACGAAGGGAGAACTGGACCGGAAGCGGCTAACTTTCAACCTCAACTCGCAGCCAGAACAAGCGTCCACGTGATCTGCAGCCGATTATATATGCCTCCAGTTTTGATCATAGCCACGCGCTGAGGTTGGCAAAACGCACGACACGCGCTGAGTTCCAGACATTGTTATGGTTCGGCTGTTGTCGTCATTGCCGCAATCGGACACGGGCCTCTACCCGAATGCTTGTCGAGCTGTCGAATACAACAAGCCCAAATGGAGTGCTCACGCAGTGCTCGGGTCTAATCTATGAGCCGCATTCAAATACAATCACTAAGAAATACCGCGACCCCCCCTTTAAGCCCACACCTGCCAATAAAGTGGCCAATAAAGTCTGCGACGAATGCACCAGAACACACTGAGGCGCGTGCCTCGTGCAGCCGTCGGAAGACAATGGCAGGGCAGTACATGGGCAGTACTGCCAGGATGAAAGCGGCAGGGCGTCTGTTTCAGATGGCCGGCGTCCACTACAGACGCGCTCGTCGCCTCTTTCCTCGTGCTTGGGATGCGCGTGAACGCTCCAAGCTCACGAGACGCCCAAGTGGTATCGAAGAAGCTCGCACTGGAGGCGGTACCAGTGAAGAACTTCCCTGCCGTTCTCATTCTGCCAGAGATCAAGACGCCCTGCAGTTTCTTCAGCTCTCGGTCCTGGTATATGTGCATCCACCATCGAGCACAACAAACGTCGGTACTTGCGAGAGAGGCGACGCGTCAGTTTTATCCTACGGTCTTACGGGCACAGTTTTCTTCGGAAACCCCGGGACCCCTGCCTGAATAAATATCTTACAAACAACTTGTAAAAAAAAAAAAAAAAAATAAATAAATAAACTCATTTTGATTTGATTTGACACAGGCACTGGCGGGTTTCATCCCGTCAGCTATACTCGTTGTCACACACACACAAAAAAAAAAAGATAAAAGAAGAAAAAAAAAAACGTTTTGCGCATTATTTATGCGCCGTGCGAAGTAGTTCTTACGAGATTTGGTTGTCAAAGGAAGAAACAATGCTTTTGGTGTTTGAAACATGTACGTCTTGGTAAAATAACATAAGTCTGATCCTCCATTCACAAAGTCAACATAAAGGTACCTTTAACATAGGTCCCTTTGCTATCGGCGAATCAGCCCTTGCTCTTGGGTCGCGAGGACACGCCACGCGCGGAAGATCCTTCATTGTTTGGCCGCAGAGAATAAAGGTCCCTTAGCTAAAGGTATACCTTTACGGTCGTGTGAATGGTCTTAATTCAACGCAGGAAAGGGGGCAGTAAGTTTCTCAGCCAAAAGGGCATATATTCCTGTGGATCTCGAGTTTGGACAGCGCTTATGGCATAGAAAGTCGAATATCTTGATGATAATGCAATTAGAGAAAAGTACAAGCGAGCTCGACAAGAATGGCGAAAATATTCCATGGAGAAGGGAACCAAGGACAAACACAAAACTCCATAGGTGACTGGTGCGCGACCGACGGCGGATTTTTTCGGTCGCGCACCAGTCATCTAGCTGTGTTTGTCCTTTGTCCCCCTTGTTCCCCTTCTCCAGGGACTATTTTTGTGGAATACCTTTCGGTCGCGTTTCGGTTCTTCGTCTTTACGCTTTTCCACGTTGCTCGCGGACGCTCAGCTCGCAGAATTTCATTGAACGATGTTTTTTTGTGAAATAAAATAACAAGAACAAAAAAACTTGAGAAAAGCTCCTGATCATTCTTATGAGACACCGAAAGTGCGAGCAGCGTTCTGCTTTTGTTTGTTTTAACTTTTTGCAGTTCCTTCAGACATTTTGTTACCGCGCGTAAACAGATGGTGACGTGCGCTTGTCAGCGTGTGTCGCGCATGATCGTATGCAGTGCCGTTTTACGGTCGATACAAGAATTACACGGTCGCGTCTCCAGGACGCGCTCGCGCCCTCTGGACGAGAGAAACAAGCATGTGGCACGCCCCAACGGAGGACGGGGGATTTAGTTCCACCACCTCGGGGGATCTTCCAACGTGTAACCCAAATATCGGTCGCACAACACCTTTTCCGCAATTGCTTCCGTTAGATTGCGTGCACCTCGGCCGGAATTCGAACCCGCCACCTGGGGATCCGCGCAAGCCGGCGCTTGGCCTCGGAGCCATGGCGGTGGCTGACATCCGTTGTATAAAGTTGCCTTTCAATAACCCGCTGTCCCCCATCGAAGTGAAATAATAGGAGCCCCTATCATTTCGTCGAAACTCGTTTCGTGGAAATACGTTTCGTTCACAACTTATCATGGACACACGTTTCGTCAAGACGATCGTTTCCTCAACACTCCTTATGCGAATTGCACGCCGTAGGGACATTTGATCACGCGTGTATCATTGGGGTGGGCGTTAACCCCCCCCCCCCCCCCCCTCCCCTTCCCGGCCGACGTTCACGCCGCTTCGCGGCGACAGTCTGTGACGGCTCATTACAAACATATTTACCCATCTGACCGACCCGTACACGCCGCTTCGCGGCGACAGTCTCATGCAGCTTGTTACAGCAAAAAGCTAATTTGACCTGTCGATGGAACATCGCGTGTCGATGCAACGATCTGTCGATTAAACGTCCTTCGATGAACTGATTGCCACCGAAATAATAACCACCTCAAAAAGCTGTAGATTAGGATGTGTCGCGTGTCATGTCTGCTTTCACACGACGCATTCGACCACTGACCACCGGATTTCCAAGCAGATAGCTTCTACACGCGTAGTCACGTCGACTTTATTTGAGACTGGACCAACGAAAAGTCGCCGTCACTGGCATCTGAACTTAGAACCGAAACGTTAGTTATGAGAGCACGACACGGTGCGAATATGTCAAAATGGGTATGTACCGACACTAGCATATTTAAGAATAATAAAAGCACGGTCGCGCTTTTTCTTTTCCACAGTGTAGATTGTCTGTTTCAGGAGTCAGGACGGGGCAGGTGGGCACAAGAGAGAGGCCGCACTCCTCTTGAGTCGTGGAGCGGGCGTCTCTCTTGACCCCGCGTCGCCTCGGTGTGCGGGCCCCGGAGGAAGACCGAGGTGCGAATCCCAGCGCCGTCAGGCCGCGGCGCGGACATCCGCGCTCCGGCGGTCGCGTGCCGAAGTCTGGGCTCACCGGTGCCGCGTCCGTCGACCGCCAGGCCCAGCGCCGTCCAGAGGAGGCCCGCGAGAGCGGCGCGGCAGCAGCAGCGTGGACGCATGACTGCCGCGGCCAGGGAACTCCCGCCCGCACTCGCGCTTCCTCTTCCCGCTGCGCTTTATAGACGCGGAAAGAAGAAAGGCGGCCGGCCCCGCGAGAGGGCGCCGCCGGCCGCCATGTCCCCCGGAGAGTGCCGTGGGGCTGGGCGCCGGCGGCGGTGAGCGGCACCCGCAGCCAGGCGGAGAAACAAGGCGCCTGACCTCGGCCGGCAGAGGCCCATGACGGCTGGCCCACTTGTGGCCAGTGGGGGGGCGTTGGCCGCGCGCTACCGCGTCCCCCGCTCGGACAGCGTCGCCCTCTGCGGGGGCTGGCGCAGCCGCTGGCCGAGCCGCGGACAGCGACTACGCGCTCCGACGCCTCCTACCGCCGAGTCCGGCCGCCACCGAGCCCCGCAATTGCCGCACCAACCTTGTCCCGTTCGTGAACATTACAATTCGCCCATCACGTACACTGGAGTGTTTTCTTTTTTTTTCTTTCTTGTTTTTTTTTAAATATAAAGCAATTGACAAAAAAAAAACAAAAAAAAAACGCCGCTTGAAATGAAGTAATGAATGCAGTGCAGCCGTCGCCGGGCACGAGTGCGAGATGAAAAGCGGCGAGTTATTTGGAAATTTTAGTAGACCGTTTCCGCAGCCCGCTAAGCACCCGTACAACGCTCCGTAATTCGCCACAAGGCCTTGAACTATGCAGACAAGGCTGGCGGCGCGCATGCGCAGCTGTGGCGTTTTCTTTACGGCTACCGTAGCGGAGGAGAAAAACGGTCTACTCCAACTCCCTATTTACTTCAAAGTCACGAGGGAACCCAGTTTAGATTTTCGACGCGATGGTGAACCCCGAGAAAGGAACGGAAAAGGAAACACAGAAAAAAGCCCCCCCCCCCCCCCCCCTTTCCCCCCAAAAAAGAAAAAAAAAAAACAATCAACATAAATAAATAAATAAATAAATAAAAACTTTCCCTAAACCTTCTCTATTTTTTCGTTTTCTTTTCGTTGCCGCAGCACGTTCCGATCGGAGATTCGTAGTTGGTCGTCAACACCAGCCACGGCAGTTCGATTCAAGGAAAGCCCCTTCGTTCACTGGCGACTTCCAGCTCCGAAACTACGGCGGGAGCGACCTAAGGGGACGCGAATGGCCACTGCGGAAGCGGCGTGCAATCGCGATTCGATCCAGCAGGAAAAGACACGACCCAGTGGAACGTCTCGTGGAGCGCGGGCATTTCGGCGAGTTTTTTCCTCTTAGTTTCGGTATCACGCGGTCAAGAGAGTCAGTGAAGAGCAGGAACAGATATCTTCCTTCCGACTTTTAACTGCTACGGCCCCTTCTGACGACTGGCTGCAATGCGCGCACTTTAGGTCCTATCCTCGCTAATTATTCTGTCCCACTCGTGCTCTCTATACGAGGTTCCCGCCCGAGAAGTCGTATTAAGTCGCCTTCCACTTCTCCCTGTGCCCTTTTAGAGCGCTGCTCTTAGGCGCCCGTTTGCCTGTTTCGCAGGCGTCGGCGTAACCGCGCTAAAAGTAGCGGGAAAATCGACGTAAGGTGACCTCAACACCAATTCAGTTTCCCCGCTAAATTTATGGGGGAAAATGACGTCACATGACTTTGTGTCTCTGTCACCTATGAACACATTCGGTTTCTCCGCTAGATTCAGCGGAAAAAAATTGCGTCACGTGACTTCAACAGCAATTCAATTCCTCGCTAAATTTAGCGGGGAATTGAATTGCTCTTGAGGTCACGTGCCGTCAATTTTTCAGCTATATTTAGCAGGGAAACTGTGGGAGGAGGGGAGGGTACGGAGGAGGAGCATGGGAGGGTACGCAGGAGGAGGAGGGGAAGGTACGGAGGAGGGGCACACCCTTTCCTCCGTACCCTCCCGTCCTCCTTCTTAGAGCTGCGCTCTAATTTCGCGTTATAGAGATTTGTAAACGTCGTCCATTCCTCTTTTTGTGCTGTTTTATTTATTCACATCATGCACAGACTCGCCACTTTGCTTCCTAATAAACATTTTATGAAGTACGCGAATGGTATTCACGCATATATTTGGGGGGGGGGGGGGGGGGGGCGGGCGGGGGGGGAGAGATTCGGCAACCGACGAACTTTCCCGGGAATATTGGGCAAAACTTGCCCAGACGGGCCCACATGCATGCGCTGCTTTTTGTCTGCTCTGGAGCCAGGGGCGGATTTTTAAAAAAAAGGGGGGGGGGGGGGGGGGAGCGACCTCCCCCCCCCCTCAAGCCCCGCCCCCCCCCCCCCCCCCCCAAAGTCAACTTTTTTGTAATGAAAAACTTGCTATACACCAGCCGAAAGATTAGCTTTCGGTGGCATAGCAAACATTGGGTTAACAAAATCGATCTGAGCCACGTCTCGGACATAGCGTCGTATCTCAGCAGACTCGCCCCCCCCCCCCCTCCCCCCCAAGCCTGACCCATAAATCCGCCTGTCTGGAACAGAAGAGGAGCCTGCAGCGAGCCCAATGCCACCCTGAAGACAACGCCTACGGTCGAAGGTTCGCTCCCATTGCTGACCAAACGCCGTGAGATGGCGCAGCATGACAGGAGCTCGAGGAACCGTCCTTATTCGCACGCACGTTTTCAAAGGCCGCGAGAGGCGAGTCTGCAGCACGCAGGCGCGAGCGGAGCCCCAGCTTGAGACTGGGGCCTGTCGGGAGGTGCTCCAAGTCCGAGCGCAATTTCGGCCCCCTTTCTGGCCCTGTTCCGACGTCTGTCTTTTCTTCCACCGTGGCCGGAATGTTAGGGCTTTATCGCACTAGAACACGAAGCAGGATTACTGGTGCCTTTTCCGTCCACTCATTGGGGCTTCTTCGGGGACTATGAAAAGCTTTCTTTCAGATTCGCTAATATACGTTAAATGCCGCTACAACCATTTGAATGAGCGAATGTTTCGAAGATCTAGCAATACAAAATCGATTCTCGAAAAATCATAATTGTTTTTTTTTTTTATTTGCTTCATTTTTTATTAGTCGAAAGATATGATAGTTATGTATCATAAGATATAAATGAGTCGATCTTCCGCGACTCGAGCAAAACGGACGCCACCAAGCGGGAAAACCGGGAACCAGCCGGAACAGGTCGCTTTGTGCCTCTCGGCGTCTCTGGCGGCTTTCGCGGACACGTGTTGTCGGCGCGGTGGCCCGCGGACGCAAAGTGGCGATGACCACTTTGCGTCCAGCGATGTATTGGTGGAAGTGGACCGCTCCAAATACCACTGCCAGCCCTTCTCGGTCCAACTGGGAGTAGTTACCCTCAGTTTCACCTAGTGTTCTCGACGCGAACGCGATGGGAGCTTCTGTGCCGTTTGGGTCCACTTGGGCGAGCACAGCTCCAATGCCATATGGCGAAGCGTCGCATGACAAAAGAAGCGGCTTCGATTCATCGTAGTGGACAAGAGTTGTCTCGCGTAGCCAAAGCTCCTTAAGTCTTTTAAAGGCATCGGCGTCCTCTTTCTCCCATCTCCATGGTACGTTTTTCTCTAGCAGCTTGTATAGGTCACAAGCCACTGTTGCCCTGTTCTCCATAAACCGATTGTAGAAAGCCAGCATTCCAAGGAATGACTGCAAAGTGGCCTTGGAGGTTGGCTCTGGCAAATCCTTGATTGCCTTTAGCTTGTCGACTGTGGCATGAACTCCTGCTGCGTTGATTCTGTGTCCCAAGTAGGTCACCTCTGGAAACGCCAAAACGATACTTGGTCTTCTGAACACGTAGGCCAACCTTTTGGAGCCGTGTCAGGACGGCGTCGTTGCGCGTGTTCTTTCGGGGCGGCGCCCGTGACGATGATATCGTCTAGGTAGGCACTGACTCCGGGTAGTCCCGCCAACGTTGTTTCAATGCACCGCTGAAGAATGGCTGGTGCTGCTGACACTCCAAAGGGTAGGCAATTAACCCGATAGAGCCCTTTGATAGTATTGATCGTGAGTATATCAGCTGTTTTCTCAGTTCCCTTCAGTCGCTGATAGGCTTGCGCAAGATCCAACGTTGAAAATACTTTTTTCTCCACGGAGCTTCGCCAGCACCTCTACAACGGCAGGTAGAGGACACGCCGCCTTGCGTGTGACAGCGTTGACGGTGCTGCGGTATAGACTCCGCAAAGTCGTATTCCACCGTCTTTTTTTCGTACTAAAACGACGGGTGTGGCCCACTCCGAGTGTTGTGTCTGCTCCAGGATGCCCTGGTCCGTGAGACGCTGCAATTCGGTTTCAACTGCTGGTTTCAGCGCAAATGGCACCGTTCGTGCTCTCAGGAACTTTGGCGCAGCATTCTCTTGAAGCTCCAGACTGACTGCCGGGCCTTTGAACTGGTTCAGGTCACCATCGAAGAGTGGAGCGTGTTTTCCGATAACATCCAGCAAGCTTTTGTCGAGCCCAATCTGATGAACGCCGCTTAATTCAATACCAAGAGGTTCAAACCAGTTCCGTCCGAGTAGATTGTAGCCGGGACGCTTCATCACAAGGAGTGGTAACTACGCTCTGACGCTCTTGAACTCCACCGTAACCTGGATCGTGCTCAGCGATTCTAGATTTTCACCTGACCAGGTGCGCAGGGCAGTGTCCTCTTGCGTGAACTGGGGAGGTTTCAGTGAGAAACGAAACGTTTCTTTACTGATAAGTGAAAACGCTGCCCCCGAGTCCACCTCGAAACGAAAAGGAACATCTTCAACTTGAAGGTTCACCATGCGTTTGTCTGTCGACTGCCGTCGATTGTTCAGGAAGTTGAGGCCATGAAGTGACCTTGCAGGACTTGGTTCATGAGCAGTCGAATCGCTCGTTTGATTTGGATTGACATCGTGAACCGTGCTGCTGCCAGCGGAATATTTTTTCTTCAAGCAGGCCTTTGCTATACGCCCCGCAAGTGGTCTCATTTTCTTCTTCTGCGCGTGAGAAAGGAAGTAGCGGTGACGTCAGAACGCCGAGCCCTGATTGGCTGATCGCGACCCCCTATCTCCGCGTCGTCTGCTCCTTTGCAACGTCGTCTGCTCGCAACATCGTCTGCGTCTGTCTTACCTTTCCTGCGACTTTGGGAAGTCGACCGAGCTCGACTTCGCCTTTCAGAGACGGCAGACGAAATAACTCGAGCGGTACGTTGTTTTTGTCTAACAACTAGCAGACGCGCATCAAGGAGGGAAGTCAAAGGACTCACCGGCGAGGTGTCCCGACGCGCCGAGGTTTGTTTGCCAAGAATCGAGAGGTGAGGGTGGTTAGTGTCCGCAAGTTCCCTCCCAAATACTTTTTCCCTCCTTTCGTGTGCGGCGAGACTCCTTACTCTTTAATGGCGTCGGC